AAGAATCTGAATAATTTTCTATTTATAATTAACTTCTTAATGTTAAGAATGTGCAGAATTTAAATCATATATATCTTAAATACAGAACTTTCCAGTTACAAATAATCTAATATTTTTATTTAATATCAAAAAGAAACGAACAAAAATTATTGTAACATCGTCACAATGCCGGGCTGCAATTTTAAATAATATTTGTAATTTATTTAATCTAAAATATATGCTCTCGATCTCAAATTAGTAGTGTCTTCCCCTGTAAATCATACTTTTCCTGATAACAACAATCATGCCGGTCATCTATGTAACTCCGTTCTAGAGAAATTTTTGAATCAAACTCACGTGACTTCCGGTGTAGCCGGAAGTTCGCATATAGTTCATCGGGGCCTCCATATCTGGTCTCGACTTTCATCTATCTAACACCGTTCTCAAGATTAAGGAAGGACAGAAAGATAGAGGAAATTTACAGGTCTACAATTGTCTTCAAATTATAGCCCAATAAACACAAATACAATTGTAAAACTAAAAAGTAAATAATCACAAATAAAGGCAATTGTAAGACTAATTCTTTTAGTTTTAATTTAATTATTAGAAAAGATTACGTTATCATTTTCTAATGCCTCGATTTAAAAAAATTAAAACTTTAAGGATTAGTTAAATGTTTTAATGTTTTCAATATTAACGTGATTAAATATAGACTATTAAAATTATACTTAAGAATCTTCCTTTAAATATGAATTAATGATAGATAGTTGCCATTTACAATGATTTTTTTTAATTGCAAAGATATTCTAATGAGAATCGTAAATGAAAATGGATGTTTAACGCGATGATGATAAACGTGTTCATTCTTCTTTTCAGAAACTAATTTCTACTTCAATTTTTATGTTTAATAATGGCTTTCTTTAGCTATTTCCTCTAATTGCCGATGTTAATAAGGATAATAAACTTTATTTTATATTTTACAACCGGATGGTCGAGCAGTTAAGGCATTAACCTTGCGCTCTGAGGAACCGATATTGAATCCAGGCGGGCGAAAATTTCAGAAATTTTTCATTGTTGGTCTGCCCTGAATGCATTGGTGGGTTGCTCCATTTGTGAGTCTGACCAAGCCCATAATGGGCATGGGAAGAAAAGGCCCTCTTACTCGTTGATGCTCATAGGGCGAAAAGTCAAAAAATGAAAACAACCTAACTCAAAAACTTTTCTTAAATAGGATTAGATTGATGTAAGAAACATATGGACGATCTGCGAAGATCAGGAGATGTCTCCCAGGAGGACTTTCTATACTGATTCCTATTTAGGTATTTAGACTAGTGAAGAAAACAAAGAAAATACCACGTTACTAGCCCGTTGGTGAGGCCGAACCCGTCACCAACTACAGGTTTTGCAATGGTTTTATCCACTCCGCTACTGGTGACCCTTTACCTGAATATCTTTATTGTCTTTTTTTTATTTTATTTATTTTCGATATAAAACTATTAGAAGAGAATTTCCTGAGCAATTTACATTTTAATTGATATAAATATCTTTTAAGGTTAAAGACTAAAAATTAAAAAAAACCTGATGCTATTTTTTAGAATATATTACTTTTAAATGATTATTTTGACGAAATAGAATTAAATATAGAAGGAAGAAAAATAAATAAATTAATTAAAAATAATTATTGTTGAAAAATTATTTATATTCGTTATGTTATAAGCGTTTTCTAAGAAATTTTTTTAAAAACTTAAGTCAATTCTTATAATTAATAATACTTTAGCTATTTAATTATTTCAATTAAAAAGTATTGTATTTCAAAAAAAAAAATACCTACGAAAATGATTAATAAGCTACTGTAAGGAAGTTAATACAAAAATTTGAAGGTCATCCTGCCACTGTTTACATATTTTAACCATTGGATATAAAGACAGAAGTTAAATCCTCCGTAGAATAACAACAAAAAAACTTTTGATGTTTTATGATATTTAGAATTCATTCTGATTCAAAGCGCTTAAATTCTCTATCTAAAGATTTTATAGTGTTTTAAGCCAAGTAAATTTGAAAAATATATGCAAAATATACGATCGATGCTATCGAGAACTTTCTTCGGAATAACGCTATTTTAGTCACAACTCAGTTCAACCAGACTCCGTTAAGTAACATATTTATTATGAAAATAAAAATTAATTTGTTGCGGTATGTTTAAAATGAATCGAAGTCAAAGGATCTTAAGGTTTATTGCCAAAATATAGTGATTGAGCCCTAAACAAAATATACTATCATGAATTTTTTGCATCTTTCTATAAGTGTTCTTCCTGTTGAATATAAATACTCAACAGGAAGAACACAGAAAGAACTATATAACTGAGCTACATAAGGAACAGAAAAAAATAAAACCAAAAGAAAAGTACTAAAAACTAAAAGAAAATTTAAAAAGAATATGGAAACATTTTTTTAAAATTTTGAATTTAATCTAAACTTTTTTACAATTTTCTAATTTATTTTTCTAAATTCATCTAATTTTTTAATCATCGATTTCGAATTCTCAACATTTCCATTTCTCTTGTTGGATTGAATAATTGGAAAACTATTAATTTATATTATACAAATAATAATAATTCATTAAAAAATATTATATTAAATAAATAGATTTTTCGAAGAAAGTAAAATGTTTTTATTATAGTTAAATATTTTCCGTTTAACAAATGCTATTTTATTTAATGCTTTACGTAAGCAACGAACGGCACGAAAATAATAAAACTTTTATTATTTGTATTATTTAGAATTAATAACAATATAGAAACTCAATATATTACTAAAATGAATCATTTATATCAAATAACTTTGCATGAAAATTAATTAAGCCAGTCTTTTATCGTTATTGTCTCAATATATATATATTAGTGGATATAGATTTAATATTTCTCAAAAATATATAAAATTAATTTAAAATATAGCATTAAAGTGTAAAAAATTAAACTGTTAAAATATATTTTCTCTAATTTTTAAGTCTCTTAAGATTGATAACAACAAAATCATGGCATACAAAGTGGCTAAATTGGACAAGTTAAGTAATTTTAAATTAAATACCAAATCGCTCTTCTGCTAAGATAAAAAAAATTAATTTTTTCATTTAAAAATAATATCAATCTTACTATAAATAATTAGCTGAAGAGTGAATACAATATCAAATCAAATATTTGGCTCGTTATTTTTGTATAATAACAAGATTAAACACAATGAATAGGCATGCAAAGTGTTTAACTCAAGATATTATATTTACTTTTCAATTAATTGTTAACTTAAGAGTGATTGTGAAAAGTAATTTTCGTTGCCGTAGTCGTAAAGAAAATTTCAATATTAATGAAGTAAAAAATTTATGCAAACTTTTATCATATTTAATTATTTGTACTGTACTTCCCTGAAAAAAAAAAATACAATTATGGTTTAACGATTATGATGAAAAGAGATTAAGTTAAATATTGAACTTAATTAACTCAATATTTATCTTCATCTTTTTTTAATGATTGTTATAGTTGTTTACATGTCGCTGATCCGTCTTTATATAAAAGATACAAGTCATCAATGAATAATACCTGATTCTACCCGTTTTAAAAAATATGTATGTTATCGAGACTGTAAATTTTGAACTTCACGCGTATAAGAAACGCGAGGTCTACTATTGTTCTTCGAACACCACAATGTCACAAGGTAAATTCGTCCTGTATTTTGAGGTTCCTCTCCGCCTCAATAGGATAAAATTGCCTATAAAGTTCCTCTAATGGCGATACAATTTAAAATTACACTTAATAAAAATAAACTTGGATTAGAAATTCATTTAAAATTCGTACGTACCGTGCGTGTTAATAATTATAATTTTTAAAATGTACAGTAGGTTAAGTTAGTTTTAAATAAAATTGTTTTTAAAATTAATCTGGCGAAAAAATTGTAATTTTTAAATTGTATTGCCAACCAGATGGACTTTTTATACAATTTTAACATATTGAGGTGGAGAAAAGCCTCAAAATAAAGGTCGACTCAGCCGTGTGACGTTGTACCTGCGATGTTAGAAGGACGATTACGAAGACCTTGTATCACTTCTAAAGATGAATTTTAAATAAATTTATCGTCCAGGGTTATTAAGTGTAAAATTTATATTATGTTGAAACTGCTTAATTAAAAATTTTACAAAAATTTCGAAAGAGACAAAATTATAAATTTGTAAATAGAAGAATTTACAACTTTATGACATACCTAATCGAATTTCAGGGGGTTCTAACCCTTAAAGGAATTAATAAATTGATCGATCGATTGATCGATTGATACCTAATCGAATTTTAGCATTTAAACCTACTAGATATTTTTCTAGGATAAACTTTCATGAAGAAAATTGCCTACTAAAGTTACGAAGAGAATTCGTTCAGGACAGATGAAATTTGAAAACCTAACTAGAGAATAAATTTGTGTATATCTCACATTTCATATATTTAACAATAATAAATTTAAATAAAATTGATTTTTTACGCAGCCTATTACATAATCAAATGATATAGAATTTGTGAATTTTTCATCTTTAAAAATTGATGATAATATTTTTACTAATTCAAAAATCTATATAAAAATTACTTTTTCATGTTAATATTTTTAGAAATGTGATTTTATTTTTAATTTATTATTAAAATATGTGCAATATTGTGTGATTTTACCATATTTTAATCTTCGAATTGTCCTATTAATTCATTACGTTCGAACGTTCCATAACTGATCAAGCAAATAGACATATGCAAGATAGCTCAAAAGTCAATTGACTTTTTATCTGCACATTCATTATGTTTCTCAATAGGAATATTAAAACAAGGAAAAATATGGAAGGAAATAACTGTAACCTAATGTAATTCAAATTATTGATGAATAATGATTAAAAAAAAGTTAGATTTCTACACAAACATCTCATCTTAACGAATATCTCATTTCATTAATAAATATAGCTGTTTCCAGAAAATTAACGTTTTATAATAAAAATATTATCTTACCCTGGTGACATTAATTATTCCAATAAAAAAAGATATGGATATAATAAAAGCGGTAAATATTTGTCTACTAAATCTCCATTGCAGATAATCCCTAAACTCGTCCATTAATCCTGTTATTACAGATTCAAGTCCTCCCATCTGAAAGTCCAACATATTATTTTAAGAAAATGTATATTAAAATAATAATAATAATAATAATAAAATAACGAATGTAAACAATAACTTCTAAATTAACATACTCACAGCACTATCAAGACCGAGCGTTAATAACATAAAAAAGAAAATAACTGCCCAAAATGAACCTCCTGGAAGAGTTGCAAGAGCTTCAGGATACACTTGAAATACTAAACCATGTCCATCAGCAGCTACTTTATTAATAGGTACACCATGTTTATTGGCCATATAACCCAAATAAACAAATATGACAAAACCACTATAAAGACTTGTAAAACTGTTTACTGCTGTGGTTATGATGCAGTCTCTGAAAAATGTATAACAATATATTGTTAAATATTCATTTATATCACACAATTATTACAAATATGCAATTAATTATATTGTTTATTGTAATTAACACACCCATCTTCATTTATATTGTTTATGATGCTGTTTGAATTCAGAAAATAGAAAATTTACATTTTAATATCACATGACAAACCTTTACGTCTTTATGATATTTATTATTATGCATTCTTATGATTACCAGAATTAAAGGATTTATTTTATCAAATCTTTTATTTTTATTTAATCAAATAAACTATTGTAAATTCAGAATTCATTATTCTCTACATTAAAACTTCATAAAGTTTTAATGTAGAGAAAAAAATGAAATTACAANGTTAGAATTTATAGTTCTACAATGTTTTCAAATTGCAACCCAATAAGTAATTTTCAGGATTTATAAGAACATGAAATTACGAATTCGTAATTTGAGATAAAATACGATAAATTAAATAAAAATAAATGTAAAATTTATGTGGTTCATATGAAATAACGCATTGTAAAAGGACACGAAACATAAATTATATCAAAGAAAACAAAAATAGCGGAACGTTTTAATTAATCAAAACATTTCGAAGACGAAAGATACAACGCACTCCACTACCCAAATAGAATCATTCCCAACATAACAAAATATCAATAAATTATTACTCTTAAAAGAGTTTACAAATAACATAAATAAACTTCAATTTCTAATAATTTAAAGCACGAAATTTAATAGAAATTTGTTTAGATACACAAGCTAAGTGTTCTCATAATAAAAAAAAAATAAGAATATAGTGAATTAAATCTCTAAAAAAGCTAAATAAAATCATTAACTAACACAATGTATAAATAAATAGTGTTGTTAATATTTGCATATATTTCTACATACTACAGCTTATATTTATTGTATTGGATTATATCTTTAATATTATTTTCGCTGGATAAAGATTAGAATTAATTATCATCCTCTCTACTATTGAAGTATCAATAATGAAGTGTACCACATACATCATTTAGGAATTATATCAGAAATTTCGGAATTATCATTAAGAATTGTTAGTTTTATTGGTATCAACTCATTCTAGAAAGATAATTTATATAATATAAATTACAAGTTTTTAACGTATATAAAGTTAATTAATGTTATTTTTACTAAGAGAAAATAAAATATTTAAGATTATATGTTATTAATAGAGAAACATACTCTATAAAGGAACCCCATTATGGCCCATTTTGGATTATTATTTTCATTAAATCCAATTTTTTTCCAAAAAATGACTAAGCTATCGTCTAATTCTAGGTGACAACTTAGCATTTCTTGGAAAAAATGGAGTTAATCGAAATAATAGTCCAAACTTAGTGGGCAATAATGAAACCCCCACTTTATTTCATTTGTTCAAAGAAAAAGTGACTAAAGGGGCCAGCTCTATCTCTGGATCCAATACTGTGAGGTACACTCGATGGCTCTGAGAATACCTCACAGTGTCAAAGAATTTCTCTCTGTATGACTAATTTTATTTTATATGCGATTTTCAGCACTTTCTATAATATATTATCGATAATAACTTTTTCTACTCAATTGGAATCAGATTGTGTTTTAAGAGTTAAGGGAAAAATCACGAAAACTTAATTATAAGATTAAAACCACAAATGTCAGGAATTCGAACACGAATACTTTTCAAGATAAGTAATCAGATAGTCGCTCACTATGAAGGAAAGTGGATTATAACTATCTATAAATAAGATATTTATAGTAAGAATTAATCATAAAATATTAATTAATTAATAATCTGTAGAATTGATTATAAAATTAATCTGTAATTATTTTGGATTTAGATCGAAACCAATAACCTCATATACAATATTATTCATGTTAAATTTCTTACTTGAGAATCTGAAAGCTTGCTTATATCAGGACTAATATAATATATCACTCCTTCTTTTGCTCCAGGCAAAAGAATCCCACGGAATAGAAGAATGGTTAAGATAATGTAAGGTGCTGTAGCGGTTACCCAAACAACCTGAAATTTAATTTCAAGTTAATATATATCATTGAATTTCTTCATATTAAATTATGAATATTTTAAAATATAAAAAAAAAATTAAATCTTACTTTTCCAGAGGAATGAACTCCTTTAAAAAGCGCAAAATATATTATAATAAACACGGCAAGAAGACACAACACTAATTGCCATTTAGGATAACCTAAATCGTCAATCCCTTCACTCAAGTGCAGCTCCAATACTTCTCGCCTCGGAAAAAAATTGATTTAATATAAAAATATATTTTAAAAAATTCTTGCTATACGAAAAAAATAAATACAATTAAAATGTATTTATATAATCAGAAATAAAAACTTCAGTTAAAAATCTACTAGTAGAAAGTTTCTTGTAATGTATCCATTACAAGAAACTTAATGTATCTTGTAATGTGATTAAATGTATCCATTAAAATCGAAATTTAATAATTATGTAGCGTTTTAAAATCCGCGATAACCTATAATACATGCTTTGTTCATATTAACAATAGTCTAATAGAAACGAGCAATTGTTTATTGTAACATCGTCACAATACCGGACTGCAATTTTTAATCATATTTTTAAATTATTTAATTTAAAATACAATATATGCTCTCTATCTCAAATTAGTAGTGGCTTGCCCCTGAACGCCGTATGTTTCCTTTAACAATAGAATCGTGCCAGTCATCTATCTGAGACCTTTCGGGGAAAAGTTTTGAATTGAATTTACATGATTTCCGGTTTGCATCGGAAGTTCCTGTATAGTTATTTGGGGCCTTCTCTCCCTGAGGTTTCCATATCTGGTCTCGACTTTCGTCTATTTAACTTTGTTCTCGAGATTAAGGAAGAACAGACGGACAAACAGTTAGAATTTATAGTTCTACAATGTTTTCAAATTGCAACCCAATAAGTAATTTTCAGGATTTATAAGAACATGAAATTACGAATTCGTAATTTGAGATAAAATACGATAAATTAAATAAAAATAAATGTAAAATTTATGTGGTTCATATGAAATAACGCATTGTAAAAGGACACGAAACAGAAATTATATCAAAGAAAACAAAAATAGCGGAACGTTTTAATTAATCAAAACATTTCGAAGACGAAAGATACAACGCACTCCACTACCCAAATAGAATCATTCCCAACATAACAAAATATCAATAAATTATTACTCTTAAAAGAGTTTACAAATAACATAAATAAACTTCAATTTCTAATAATTTAAAGCACGAAATTTAATAGAAATTTGTTTAGATACACAAGCTAAGTGTTCTCATAATAATAAAAAAATAAGAATATAGTGAATTAAATCTCTAAAAAAGCTAAATAAAATCATTAACTAACACAATGTATAAATAAATAGTGTTGTTAATATTTGCATATATTTCTACATACTACAGCTTATATTTATTGTATTGGATTATATCTTTAATATTATTTTCGCTGGATAAAGATTAGAATTAATTATCATCCTCTCTACTATTGAAGTATCAATAATGAAGTGTACCACATACATCATTTAGGAATTATATCAGAAATTTCGGAATTATCATTAAGAATTGTTAGTTTTATTGGTATCAACTCATTCTAGAAAGATAATTTATATAATATAAATTACAAGTTTTTAACGTATTAAATAACAGGGCATATTTTGTTCCAATTCAAAGTCCTAATTTAGTAAAAATTCGATATAACTAGATGCTTTCTCACGTAAAAAAAACTGAATATCTTTGCTATAGATACGGCCCTTGACAGACATATTTGGATGTTTATGACGATACGAGACTTGAAATACTTCGTTAAATGACCTTTAAAATTCTTTTGAAGTTTTTATTAAAAAATACGATATAATACCGGTATAGGTAACTTCCTATATTCTAGATAGAAGATCATTGTTAAAATTTATGACTAGGAAAAATTGAAATATAAATCTCTACTAATAATACAAAGCAGTGGTTTCATAACGAAAACATAAAAGGTAATTTTATACCAATAACAAAAGATGAATGAATAAGTCTCGTATAGCATATCAACAAGATAATTCTTTATCTGTAAATATATATATTTTTTTCGTTTAAAAATTATTAAAAAGAAAGGAAAAAAAATTAAAATTAAAAATTTTAAATTATGAAAAAAATTAACTTAAACTTCTAACCTTTTGCGTAAGTAGGAAGCTTTTCAAGCTTTTAGAGTTTCAATATAAAATTATTTTTTTGCGTTAATAACTTTCATTTATGAATAATACATAAAAGAAATGAAAATATTTGATGGCTAATATTAAAAAAAAATATTTAACAAACAAGCCATTAAACTGCTTTTAGTATAATGAGTTTAACCTCATTTTCCAAAATCAGTTTCGATTCATGTCAAAAAATCCACTTCTCAATTAGACACGACGTCAAACATTAAATAAAATTATATACAATGTTCGAATAATTTGAATAAAGGCAATTTTCTAGCTTCAAAAGTAATTACAGTTTAAAAATTTTTACTTTTTATCTCATTACTGATGATTTTTATAATAATAATAATGATGCACGAGTTAAATTTCAAAGTGAATGTTCTTTATAATCAACATTAAACAAACATCAACAGAAAAAAATAAACTTACTTTTTTAATTAAGTTTATAAACACGTAAAAATGTTTTTTTTTTTCCTTTTAAAATATTTTTCCAGAATTCAAGTTTTATAAAAGATTGAAATTGCATAGTTTTAAGTTGCTTAAAATCTGTTGTTATTTAAATTTAATAAAAAAAATTAATTAAATTATTATTTATTGTTTAATATAAATCACTACAACAACAAATAATTTTTATTGTTTTTGTAGTGAAAAACTGCAAAAAATACAACTTTATAAAGTATATTATTTAATAATAATTTTTAAATTTAGTTTTTATTTATTAAAAACTTAATAAATTCTGTAAATTAAACTGCTATTTATTTCGGTAAAATTAAGAAGACAAAAATTATTTATAAATTGAAAGAGCGTCGTGTATGTCTACGATTAATGTTCAAGTTTCAATTGTAAAATAAAGATTAATAATAACGAAATGGATATTATTCGTTAGATTAATTCAATAAAATTTCACTTAAATTTTTGTATTACAATTGATTAGTTTGCAAAATGATAAGCTGGGCATTGTCTCGTGATAATATGACCATTAAAAAAAATTTTTGAAGTTTTTTGTAGGAAATTCTGTTTAAAAATTCTGTCTTCTTCAATATTTATATTGCTTTAAATTGATGCAGTTATATTCTTTTATTTTATGCATGATACGTACAGCAACGTACTGCATAATCCATTAAAGCGATGGTCACTTCTTTTTAAATTGATTGAAGTACTCAAAAATAATTTGTGCGTATTGCAAGGAAATTCAATCAACTGGATTTTTCTTTGATGATCGAGTTCTTAAGATATACATTTTGACAGAAAATAAAACAAGAGAGAGGAAAAAATAATAATAATAAGAAAAGAAAAAAACTACATCGGTAAAAGTAAACCTAAACTGAATATAATGCAAAATAATTAAATGGTAATATAAGCATTTAAGTTAAATATAATTTATAAATAATAAAAATTGATTTTTAAGTTTATCTGACGTGTGCAGAAACTCAAAAGTGGTCTGTTCATTTATATTTTTGAAGCCCTCTGTGTGTTAAAAAAATCAAAAACAGTGTTAAAAATTGTATTATATGTTTTAAATAATAAAAAATACGAATTTTTCTTAATACTAAAAAAATTTGTATTGTAACAAATATGTTTGAGTTTCCGTAAATGTGAAGATTGGTGTAAATGATAGGAAGATATGTGAATTAATTGTATTCATTTTGTTGCACTTCATTTATTATTGGGAAATTATTTTAAAACTTTATAAATAAAATAAACAACAGTNAATTATGACATGAAAAAATATAATTTCTTATACTTTTAATACAGCTTAAATAAACACTTACTCGAAAAATTCCACAACGGGTGATGTTCTGTTTCCCGGTAAAGTTCCATTGACGTCAGCGCTTTCTAAACACGTTTCCGTGTTCCAAATGTTTTGACAATGAATCCATGGTAATTGTGGACTTATTGATGATACCATAAAAAATAATGCCCAGCATATTATAACATTGTAATAGAATGACACGTACCATGAGATTAGTACAGCGCAATAACCTACACCTGATAATATAATTCTTTATTAATATTCTATGTACACTACTTTATTCTTAGTTTATATTTACATTTCATACATCCAAAGANGGAATAACGCTATTTTAGTCACAACTCAGTTCAACCAGACTCCGTTAAGTAACATATTTATTATGAAAATAAAAATTAATTTGTTGCGGTATGTTTAAAATGAATCGAAGTCAAAGGATCTTAAGGTTTATTGCCAAAATATAGTGATTGAGCCCTAAACAAAAATACTATCATGAATTTTTTGCATCTTTCTATAAGTGTTCTTCCTGTTGAATATAAATACTCAACAGGAAGAACACAGAAAGAACTATATAACTGAGCTACATAAGGAACAGAAAAAAATAAAACCAAAAGAAAAGTACTAAAAACTAAAAGAAAATTTAAAAAGAATATGGAAACATTTTTTTAAAATTTTGAATTTAATCTAAACTTTTTTACAATTTTCTAATTTATTTTTCTAAATTCATCTAATTTTTTAATCATCGATTTCGAATTCTCAACATTTCCATTTCTCTTGTTGGATTGAATAATTGGAAAACTATTAATTTATATTATACAAATAATAATAATTCATTAAAAAATATTATATTAAATAAATAGATTTTTCGAAGAAAGTAAAATGTTTTTATTATAGTTAAATATTTTCCGTTTAACAAATGCTATTTTATTTAATGCTTTACGTAAGCAACGAACGGCACGAAAATAATAAAACTTTTATTATTTGTATTATTTAGAATTAATAACAATATAGAAACTCAATATATTACTAAAATGAATCATTTATATCAAATAACTTTGCATGAAAATTAATTAAGCCAGTCTTTTATCGTTATTGTCTCAATATATATATATATTAGTGGATATAGATTTAATATTTCTCAAAAATATATAAAATTAATTTAAAATATAGCATTAAAGTGTAAAAAATTAAACTGTTAAAATATATTTTCTCTAATTTTTAAGTCTCTTAAGATTGATAACAACAAAATCATGGCATACAAAGTGGCTAAATTGGACAAGTTAAGTAATTTTAAATTAAATACCAAATCGCTCTTCTGCTAAGATAAAAAAAATTAATTTTTTCATTTAAAAATAATATCAATCTTACTATAAATAATTAGCTGAAGAGTGAATACAATATCAAATCAAATATTTGGCTCGTTATTTTTGTATAATAACAAGATTAAACACAATGAATAGGCATGCAAAGTGTTTAACTCAAGATATTATATTTACTTTTCAATTAATTGTTAACTTAAGAGTGATTGTGAAAAGTAATTTTCGTTGCCGTAGTCGTAAAGAAAATTTCAATATTAATGAAGTAAAAAATTTATGCAAACTTTTATCATATTTAATTATTTGTACTGTACTTCCCTGAAAAAAAAAAATACAATTATGGTTTAACGATTATGATGAAAAGAGATTAAGTTAAATATTGAACTTAATTAACTCAATATTTATCTTCATCTTTTTTTAATGATTGTTATAGTTGTTTACATGTCGCTGATCCGTCTTTATATAAAAGATACAAGTCATCAATGAATAATACCTGATTCTACCCGTTTTAAAAAATATGTATGTTATCGAGACTGTAAATTTTGAACTTCACGCGTATAAGAAACGCGAGGTCTACTATTGTTCTTCGAACACCACAATGTCACAAGGTAAATTCGTCCTGTATTTTGAGGTTCCTCTCCGCCTCAATAGGATAAAATTGCCTATAAAGTTCCTCTAATGGCGATACAATTTAAAATTACACTTAATAAAAATAAACTTGGATTAGAAATTCATTTAAAATTCGTACGTACCGTGCGTGTTAATAATTATAATTTTTAAAATGATTTTATTAGTTTTCTATTCGATTTTTGATATAAATCGATTATATATTTTTTCAAAGACGGATAAATTGACGTTAGATGATTATCGTTTTCATACATTAAAGTCAGTAGGCTCATTTAACTCCTTCATAAATTTCTTTTTAAAATACAAAATTCTGTATTATTATTATTATTATTCTTTTCTAAAAACGATATGTTTTTGAGGAAAATATTATCGATCATTTTGCGGTCTTTCTTTCATCAGTTCTTCATTTATTTTCTTTTGATCTTTACCCCTTACAGTTACGAAGTAAAAACTTTATAAAGTGGATTATTAATGAAATCACAAAAACTCTCAAAATTTTGGAACTTGAATTGTTACTGACATCAAAGATTACTTGGAATTATTTGAGTTAGCACTATAAATAAATGCTAAATACAAACCTATACGAGTTAAAGCTATTTCGAACACAGAAATTCAATAAGTTTATTGAATTTTCTATGTTCGAAACTTATAAAATATAAAAAAAAGTGGTCTTATGCCACACATCAGTTTCTTAATATTTTTTTAAAGGTCACACGTTTTCCTCTCATTCTTCTCGTTGTAATTTCAGGAATAATGTTTTAAAATTTCTTAAAAATTTTAATTTGTGAGTTTTATTTATTTATTTTTAATATAATTATGTAAAAACATGCAAATGTATAACGTATAAACATATGTAAAACATATATGTTTTATATATGTATAGTTAAAAACATGTACTATATATATTCATATAAAGTCAGTTATTGTAATAATTCTACTAAAAAAAATGATGAAAAAATTAAATAATGTAATAATAAAAATTTTTCAAATAAATATTCGGGAAATTATCTATAATAATTTTAATTTTTTCTACAATTAACTACTATAGATCAAATTCTAAAACTAAAAATTATTCATAGAATTTCTTGAATAAATCTGATAATTTGTGATAATTTGTTGAATATTTTACGAATAATTTGAAGCAAAACAAAAATTATTAAATTCTTTTTTATTCCTACATAAAACTTTTCATAAAATATAATATTTTATTGGAAAAACTAAAAATTTTACAACTTTAAAGCCAATTTCATATATTTTAAGCTATTTTATAAATAAAAATTTTGAATGCGTTGTAATATTTTCAGTTGTAATAATAAAAATTGATAAATAAAAAATTTCTACTAAACTTACGCGAAATTTTATAATTATGAAATATAATTGATTTTTTAAATTTAAATTAAATTGTTAAAAGACATTAAATCACTCGTTAAAAATTATATAAATAAAATCGTATTAATTCCATTTATGTTTATTAAGCTAAAAAAATATTTATAATTAAATATTTAACTCTTATATAACGTTATTTTACGCTCATTTCAAATTATAAACGACTCTTCCCCGTTACGTAATTGATACGTATATGTTCCGTATCAATTTAATTACGTCACAAATAAGTTATATCGCTGTTAAACGTATCGATTAGTTAAATAAGTTGAAATAAGTAAAATAAAATAAGGAAATAAATTCTCACCTCCTCCATTTCTGTAACAAAGATAGGGAAATCTCCAAACATTAGCTAGATCGACAGCAAAACCGATAATTGAAAGTAAGAAATCAGCTTTTTTATTCCAAGTTGGACGATTCGTTGTAGAGTTAACATTATTCGTGTCTGGTAATTGTATTTTGTTTGAAACTTCAGAAAATCCAGTTTCTTTTTCTAATTCTATTTCCGTAGAATCGGATGTACCTTGTCCTAAATAGAATATACATGTGTTACTTACTTCCTTCATAACGTTAATTTTTTAAATCGAAGGTTGTATAATATCTTATCAATTTATTTTATTGATAACAGAGAAAGAGGAAAAAACGAAATCTAGAATTGACAATGTCTCGTGAGAATTAGCAGACATTTTTCTTATCCATTCCTACATCCGCGAGGTATGAGAATAAGATAAATTTATTATTAAAATTGTAAAATTTGTAGTAAATAAAGTCATAAATTTTAATAATATTTAAGTAAAATATTTTTCGTTTTATACAATGTTTAAATTATTATTTATATAAATTATATATACAGTATATAATATTTCAAAAGTTTTATTAAAAGTTATTCTTTAAATAATAGTAGTAAATATGGATTTTAATTGGATTCTCACGTGCTGGTTTAGGTGTGCTGGACGACGAAAAATAACCTTCGTCACGAATAGTTACGTGACGTTTGTGTTTTCCTCTGTCGAAGTCATCGCAGGGTGACGTCATTTCCGTTTGTTCTTCGATGTTTTGGCTTGACATCTTAATCAAGAACTTGCATTGTTATGAATATTAAGCTTATATCTAACAAAAAAAAATTAATTTAGAAAAAATATACATTAAATTTTATTTAATTTAACATATAATTAAACTGGATTAAAATTAAATTTATAAAAAGGATTAGTAAAATGGATAGAAAAAGGAATTTTATTTGGGAAGAAAATAAAATAAAACAAAAGACTTAATACATTATTTAAATAGGGAAAATTAAGTAGATAAATAAAATAATTAAATTAAATGGAATAAAATGCACTCGGAATAAATTTTCAATAAAATGATCAAACAAATATAAGAAAAGTACTGAACAATTTACAATGCATCACAATAAATGATTATACAATTATTTAGTTCATATGACTCAAAAATTGCATTGTAATTCCATATAATTGCACTAACTTTACATTAGTAAGTATGAAAAAGAAGCATTAAAGGTAAAATGTTAAAAATTGAAAAGAAAACTAAATATATTTAAATTAAATTAAAATAGCATACCTTTATTATAGTCTTGATACCTTTGATGTTTGGTTACCTGTAAAAAAAATTATTATTATTATTATTTTAACAAATTTTTCCTAAGTTTGAATCGATAAAACGGATCCACATGCATCAAACCGGTGTCACCTGCAAACAGGAACTTAGTACTAAAATGAAGACGAGTGCAGAATTGAAGAAAGACCCATAACTTTAGAAAAAGTTTTTCCAACGTCAGAACTTTGAATCATCAATCGATCAACATTTTTTTCTTCCAATTAGTTGGCGATTGGAATTTTTACTCATCAAAAACTCGGTTCCTATTTAAATAAATATTTTCTTGGCGACGTCTGCTCGCTTCATCTTTAAGATCTGCCATATTTATAAAAGAGGGCAATGGATGAAAATATGCGGTCTATACTGACAACTATGTCGACTGTTTGTCACCAGTAGGCTTTGGGAATTAAATTTTTGTCGGGTAGACGACTCGGACGTGTCGAATTTGAATTTTTAAAACGATCATTTTCGATTTTGCATTATTTGAAAGAAAGAATAAGTGGTTAATAGAAGGGATTTTAAATTGTTATTTCGATTGATGAAGTCGATAACATTTGTCACATATTTCTATCTTGTGTTTCTGACAGGTTTAACTGATTCGATAATCCTTTGGTCTAACTCAATTATAGTTTGTTTTTAGTTTTAAACTGCAAAAATTCCTTCATTTATCAAGTTTTTCTCGAATTTCTCAATAGTTAAAGACTAATTTTAAAGGTTGAATTTCAATTTTAATTTTTAAAAAATATTTATAACATTGTGAATGAAATTTAATTTATAACATTTTAAAATAAAATTATAATAATATGTTCATTTCATACTAAATGGCTTGAAATTTAATTCTAACAATCACTTTAGGATTATTTATATATTTTTAATGCATTAAATAATAAAGCATTTATCAATTAGTCAATATTCTGCCGTCAACTATGAACATTTTCAATACAGTAGAGAGCATCGATTATCCGAAAAATTGGTAAACCGAAATTGATTTTAAAGAGAATATCAATTCCAGAAAGTATGAAGTTTTAACGTAATAACGAAGGTTGGCGATCTTCTGTAGATCCACCATTGAGCTCTCTCGTTATTAGCACTAGTGTTTGGTTTTTATTTATTACGGTACGAATAAAAAAGCATGATTAATAAGTCGCTGACTTCTAAATATTGCATCAAATGCTCTGTGTCTACGCACAATGAAGCATTTGATGCGTTAGATACAATGTTGAGGTGATTGGAAATGCAACCTGAAGCAGATTTTTCAACTTTTATGAGGATTAAGTGAGCCTGAGATCTAGAAGAATTAAGAAGAAAAAATATGTAAAACAAAGCAAAATAGATTACTTTAAAAAAATAATAAAAGTGAGCACTATACTTCATTTAGTATTAATTTTACCATTGTGTATTTTTACTTCGAATTCAAAATTTCATCGGTTTATTGTAGATTACAATGAAATACTACTAATTGTTTTTAATAAATTAGACAAACGTTTTCATTATTTTTTTATCATTCGTATTTATTAATCATATATATTTTATATCGTATTTATAATTCGTATTTATTTTTTTTATCATTCGTATTTATTCTATGGTTTAATATTTTTTACTTTCCCGGATGTTATATACAATAGAGAAAAGATATGACGATTGGTCAAAAAATGACCCCAAAGATTTTTACATTTTTTGGACTCAGGAGACGTTAAAACGTCGAGAAATGCAAGAAAAAAAAATCGGGGTATTTTTCTGTATGTGTTACATGCAACTCGTTATTGGATTTTTATTTCTGTAGTAAGATTAATATTTTTACTTTATTTAAGATATTTTTTTCTTTATTATTTCTCTATCAAATGTGATAAACTATCTGAATTTGTCATGCCGTGATTACTAGTATTTCGGATAATCGACACTCTATTGTCATTCAATGACTTTAATTTATCAATTAAATAATTATTAATTACTGTCAACTACATCTGTAAAAATAAGAGAATAGATTCAATTTAAACCGATATATTATTATTTTTTCATATTCTGAATAAGTTGTTTCCTTTTTTCTACAGCATTTTTTATTCTTACAAACGTTACAAGGAATATGAAACAATTCTTAAAAAGTTAAAAATTGAAGAGAATTTTCTATAATCTATTATTATCACAAGAAAACAATGTTAAACAAACGTAAGAAATATGAAAATTCGGTAGTTTTTCTAACATCCTCAGTTGTAAAACAGTAAAAAGATACCTTAGAAATCAGACATCAATTTTATTTATATTATTTAGGTAAGTATTACGAACTAGTTTAAATACTATAGCGAATGTCATAAAACAATTGAACGTAAACTAAAAGAGAATTTAACTGATAACATAAATAACATAATAGAAAATATTTAATCGTTTCTTCTATTTCTAAACATATACATATCTACTGTACAGACAGTATATGTAGTCCTCTGCGATATGTGTAAGATATCAAATGAAATAAATTTCAAAGAAAAACGATTATAAATATAGTTGTAGAATAAAGATAAAACCCGTGTTTTAATTAATATCTTTCAGAAAAACGTGATAAAGCAGTATTTTTGTAGATAACATTACTATGAATACAGTATATTAAAATAATTTATTACTATATGAAAGTAATTTGTAGTTTATATGGAAACTTTAATTGATAATTGGCAAATTTACAATCTTTTAATCTATTCAAATATAATTTACAAGGATGCAAAAATATGTATTCTTTTATTTCTAAAACATACATTTTATAAAGATAAATTGAAATAATACAATATGGATCATATAATCCTATGTTAATGTTTGTTGCATGTATCGATTTCTATAGTGACAATTTTTATCGTCAAAGTACAAAAAAAAAACATTAAAGATAAAAATTTTATACAAAGTATTATCTTTGTATGAAAAATTTATCTTCAATGTTATACATAAGCATCAAAAATTTAAAAAAATGCTCATTGCAAGTGCTATCAGAATTTTTACTGATATTATTTTATGCTCAAATATTACAATATAGCGCTTCTTAGATTTTCCAATTGACTCGACACTTCTGCTAATGACAATTATTAATCTTTTCCTTTGATATTGATCATTGTAAGGATTACTATTAAAGAAAAAAAATAAATAATAACAGAATCTTTCTTGTAAGCATGGTCATCCACGTTATGGCAATAGATATTTGCAACCCGAATTCATTATTCTTTCAACAGATTTCTTACTGTATGTTTTTTTACTTCGAATTTCATCTTATACATTCCCACGCTTAAAAATTAACAATAATATTTTAAACTATATATAAATGTTTTAGTCATAAGTATATATATATATATTTATATAGTCATCAATACATTCAGTATATGTGTCTATATACGAATAAACTTTAATGTAATACTAGGACATCGCGCGACTTTGTCGTATAGAATTGAGGTGGAGTCGGGTATAGAGAGACGATTCTTGCACTTGCCGACACGGAGAGGCGATCCAAGAATAATTGTTCTGTTCTTGTGTTTTATTCGTTTTTCGCTCCTAAATTCCGTTAGGCGCACATTGTCAGTTTAACTCCTCTGTATATTCAATCCCTATTTTTTACATTTAAATGGACCCTTATTACATTTCTGGATTCCTCGTCTCAAATAATGGAAAATGGCAAAGTTTTGTCAAAGTCTGCCCATTAAATTTTGAGAACGAACTCGACTGTATAGCGAAGTCCATAGAGGATGTGCTAGTAACCGTGAAACATCGCACGACAAACTCACGCGATTCGTGCGATATCTCCATGTCGCTAGTGAAACGACCTTATATCTCGAAAACGAAGTCAGAGATCCACATTTTTAATTGTATTTTTGGATTCCTCGTCGTAATTAATGAAAAATGGCAAAGTTCAATCAAAAGATACAATTCTGTAAGCCTCTAGAAGAGGCTTCGCTAACGCTCGGCCTCAATTATTAATTTGGGATCAAACGATATAGCTAGATTCATATCGGCTACAATTAAGCTAATTAATTAGTAAGACATTAAGCAATTTGAACCATTGTATTGGTTAATTATATTTTGTTTTCATTACTAATATGACATCTCAAAAATAAAAAAATCAATGGATACGAAATTGGGAATATTGTCATAGAATAACAGTAGTCAAGGTAATTACAAAAGTATTATTTATTTTATAACAAAATAATGTTGCCAATCGCCAATCTAAATTTAATATTATATTTCAGAATCTGATATATGGTGTAATTTACAATGACAACTTTGTTTTCCGAATAACCTTATTTACTTCGTTCAAGATGCGCTGTTATATTAGCAGTTACAAGATGATAAATGCTTAATCGGAGTTATTTTATTATGGTAAAGTTTAATAAATTTGTCTTTATTCTTTATTTATTTGTCCATTAGTTTTAAGCGGGACAAAATAATTAATTTCAATGTAATGCTATGATGATATTGCTATATTTTATAATTGTTTTGAGCAGCGCATTACAAAATACTTAATTACACTCCCTGAATTTTTTATCTTGAATAATTTATTAATAGATTTAATAAGAGAGTTACCAAATATATTTAATTATTTCTTATTTTATAAATTAATTTTAGCAATTACAACGCATATTTTATATTTATGAAGCATAATTTTGGCATAGGATATTTATCTAGAAAATATTTTAAAATGCAAGCTAAGAATTGAAACATCGACATCATTAAAATAATGTACTGTACCTTGCACTGACGTTAATATAAGGTTATTAATATATTGTATATACGTTAAAACGCTTAATATATATTGAATGGATCAATATTGATTAGTAGCAATAAGTACACTTAGAACATATTTTCATTCAGTAAGCATTAAAAATTCACTTGGAAAAAGCTAAATGTATGCTGTATAATTGAAATACAAGTGTTATGTGGAATTTTAATCCGTTATTTTGTTTCAATACAAAGACCATCTCCATTCTTCATTTTCAAAAACCAAAAACAAAAGTTCAAACTTTAATTTATTTAAATTTTTGATCCGTGCAGAACTAATGGCACAAACTGTACAGTACATATGTGTTGTTTTAAAAAGCTTAAATAAATTATTTAAATTAATTTTACTTAAATAATGATAATAATGAGCTGTTTTAAGTTTTAATAGTTAATGATAATTAGCCACCACTTTCATTTTTTCAGATATGTTACTTAACATTGAATGGAAGGAGGCAAAAAAATACATCTAAGTATAAAGTTTATATCAGATATATTTTTAGAACACATTGTAAATTGTCAGAAGAAATCAGATTTAATTTTTTTGTCCTGTCAAAATTTTAGTTCGAGACATTTTGTCATCGTCTCAACTCAAAGTTTTTGTATTTATTTATTCATTTTTAAATATTTACAAAGGTAAAGCTGCGAAATGGAAGAAATAGCTTTTCCCTTATGAAGTACAAACATAAACTCCAAATATAAAATTATACATAAGACAAATTTAACATAAACCCTATTTTAAAGTTAACATTATAAATTATATATACAGTATATAATATTTCAAAAGTTTTATTAAAAGTTATTCTTTAAATAATAGTAGTAAATATGGATTTTAATTGGATTCTCNGGTAATTGTATTTTGTTTGAAACTTCAGAAAATCCAGTTTCTTTTTCTAATTCTATTTCCGTAGAATCGGATGTACCTTGTCCTAAATAGAATATACATGTGTTACTTACTTCCTTCATAACGTTAATTTTTTAAATCGAAGGTTGTATAATATCTTATCAATTTATTTTATTGATAACAGAGAAAGAGGAAAAAACGAAATCTAGAATTGACAATGTCTCGTGAGAATTAGCAGACATTTTTCTTATCCATTCCTACATCCGCGAGGTATGAGAATAAGATAAATTTATTATTAAAATTGTAAAATTTGTAGTAAATAAAGTCATAAATTTTAATAATATTTAAGTAAAATATTTTTCGTTTTATACAATGTTTAAATTATTATTTATATAAATTATATATAATAATTTTACATATGAAACAAATTATAAATTATTGTAAAATTTAATAAAAAGTATTGGCTTATATACGGTACACATTTTTTCTTTATAGTAATGAAATAATTCATAAGAAATCACTTTTTTAATAAATTAAAAAGTAGCGCAGTTACATAACGTTATTGCTTAAGATATTAAAATAAAAAAACTTCCGCTTGATAAAATTAATAGCATAGTAAATATCGATTTATACAATAAATTTCTAACGCTTATTTTACTCTATATTACAAATAATCAATAGCATTTCTAATATACTTCGACTATTCATGGTATGTCATTTTGCTTTAAAATAACCACTAAATCGAGGGATTATAATTTAAATGAAACAATTTACGTCATTTACTTTGATCCCCTTTAAATTATAACCATTTGTAAACTGTAAATAACTTGCAAATTATTAAATATATATCAAAGTTAATCACAATAATTACATTTTGTAACATTTCAGAAAATTTTTCATAACACTCTTCATGAAACATGTGATAGATGCGAATAACTCAACTAATATTTAAAAATTAACTTAAATTATTAATAAAATAGCTATTTATGTATATTTAGATGGTAAAAAATATCTTGTTTCGGCATTATTAAATAATAAAATATTCGAAAAAAATATTACTAAATTTTTACTTACAGTTTCAACTTAAGTAGCATTGTATCAGCTTAAAATTTGACTTATTATAATTAGCTGACTGTTCTCTAGTAATTAGCCCAAAGCTAAAATACGGCAACCCACTACAAGTCAACTTCAGTCTTATTTACCATAGTAATGATGCACTCTGCTTCTATGTCACTGCCTGTAGCTGCTCTGCTTGTCAAACTGTATCATCGCATCAAAACATTGCCAGAGGCATACAAGAGAATATCATTATTTAGTCTCGGATAAAACCGATTTATAAGGTTATACAATACAAATACTATCTAGTCCTTGGAGAGAATGAAAACAATCGGCCAAGTTCAACAAAAGCTTCTAAAATTATGAACTTTGAACTCGTATACAATGCCATGGCAGGCGCCTAATCGAAAATATTATATTTCTACGTTAATTATTGAAAATAATACAAGTAGAAGTTCATTTTATGTTCTCTACGTGATACTTTAACGATACTTTAATAAATTTTATCTATTTTAAAATAAATATTTTAAACATTTATCATTGTCATGTTAATTAATTAGCTTTTATCTCAGAATAGGACGTTTAAATCTTATCACTNTTTTGCTTAGTCGTGCATTTAGTATTGATAGTTTATATGATGGCGTAATTCAGTGAAAAATTATTTAAGAAAATTGAGAATTAGTTTGCTAATTCTTCAAAATTTTTAATCTCATATTATTTTGATTTCTGGTAATTTTTCATCATAGACAGATAAAATTATTGTTTTTTTTTTGTTATAATAAAAAGTGTTTGAACGAAATTCGTTATGAATCATGTGAAGAAAAATACACAAAGCTACAACTATGTTTTGATAAATATAAAATTCATTTTTAGGCACAACCAGTAGAATAACTAAAGAAAATCAGTTATAATTCAAGTATAAATGAATTTTTTTTTGTTCTTTTGACTTTATAATACGTCAATAAATTTAAAATATTTTTATATATTCTGCTAGGAAGCTTTACCTCCTTCCGCTCGCTTGGCCCATGGCCTTCGCCCACTTGTTCAAAAATGTCGTGATAATTCATTGATTCGCGGTGATTTCTCTTTTTTCTGACGGTAAAAGTATCTTGTGATTGAGACTAAGTATAAGTTATTTTATAGATCGATTTAAACTTTTTGTTCTGTAAACACTAAGAGGGCCTTTTTTTCAGGCCCGTAGTGGGGTAGGCCGGGTGGCGAAAAACATGGAATGACATATCCTGGAAGGACCCCCTAAAAATTTCTGGGGTTTTTCGATCGCTAGGATGTGATCCTGGATCCTCCAGAGCGGTAAACTGACACCTTAACTTTCTCCATCTACGGCTAGCTTTATTTTATAAATATTCAATGACAGAAAACTAACAATTACATAATTTAAAAATTGAAATATGCTAGTAAAAATTTGCAGTAATTGCAAAATTATAAAATTTTGAATCATCTTTCAGGATTAACCGTTTTAAGAATTTGATATTGAAAAAGTATCCCTTATGATGGTTAATGCTGAATAAGTAAATCTTCTAGTAGTAATTACCTTCTTTTAGTCTTTTAAATAAAAGAATATTTTATTTTATTTACAAAAAATAATTAACAGTTATTGTAATAAGGAATATCTCTTTACAGTTCTATTTTCAATGCAATTGTACTCTATCCCCCAGGTTGGAGAAAGGAAAGGGCGAAAGGATGAGAAAGAGGATAAGAAAGAAGAGAGAAGTCTCAGTAGAGTACTGAGCAAACAAGATGAATCAGAAAGTATGAAAAATACAAAATTTGTTGAGAAATGTTTATCCATTGACTTCCTGTGACAAAATAAAAACTTATATACCCAATATTTAACAAAGAAATAAGCCTGTTTCCTTCACACCTGTGGAAACAGTAACGAAGAAATATAACAATCATATATGAAATTTGAATAAAATAAGTTAACTCAGGAACTCGCAAAAATAAATAGTTGTAAATACAAAAAGCAACAGCCTCATTATAATGATAAAATGGAACAGTTTATATAAGAACAGTACAAAGCAAAAATTATGTAAGGTAGCTAAAAATAGAACAATACATCAACCACAATGAAATTGTGGTTTGAGTTTTTGAAATATTAACGAACGTTTTTAGAGCAATAAATTCTTACTAAATATTTATACATTTATTTTAAAAAAATAGAGATATATATTTTATATACATTTTAACTTTTTTATTATGAAATTCGTTTATTAATCACCGTGTTAAATTATTCCAAACTAACATTAAATGTATTTTTCTTTTCAACATATTTTGAAATGAAATTTTATGTTGTAATTATATCAAATTGATTGTTGACCTCCTATTTTACGGACGGGTAAAGCCTATCAGGCTTTGTAATCAATTTTTACACTTGTTGGACACAAACGTTTTCACAAACTCTTTTTTTATAATGAGGCAGTGCAGAATTGTATCTGATTGAAATTCCAGTCTTCACCTTGCCAGCAACTTGGAGAGTTTCAAACAGTTTTGCTTTCTTTTGTAAATTTATAAATGTTTGATTTTCTTTTTTTATTATCCTCTAATATTGTTTATTTAAAAAGTTTTATAGAAATAAAATGTTTTTAACAATTGCTATACACAATTTATATATGTATAAAAATCTAAACAGTGTTTAATGTAGAAAAGAAAATCAATTCTTCATATTTATGGTAACTTAAAGTTTAACAAGTTAAATTATTTAACATAATCAAGCTTAATTTTTATTCAAACTTCATAAATATATTAAAAAGTAAATTCCATTAATGATTAGAGTAAAAGAATGTAAATTATACTTCGTATTGTAGATAAATACAGTACATATTTATCATAGATAAATTACGAAACATTATCGTACATCACTATTTAAATATTGCAGTAATATAAAGCTATTGGCTCACAAAATTTAAATGTGCAATATAACTTACAAGGTTTCTAAAGATTTTTCGAAAAATGCTACTTTTAATTGGATACAGGCATTATTATTCTCTATTGATTTTTCAAAATAATTATCTGAAAACAATACTGTATGAAAAATGTTTCTTTTCGAAGTTAAAAATAAAACATTTATTAGATTTTTTAAATCCATATTTATTGGAAAGGATTTTCGAACTATATTAGCCTATGTTTATTCGCAATCAATACATTCTTTTACGTTTTATTGACAAGATAATAGCGTACATCGTGCAGAATAAATGTTTTTATTAAAATAATAAAGTTTAATTGCGTATAAAAATTTTAAATAAAAAGATTTTTTTATAGTTTTTGAAGTATTCCTGTTTAATATCTTATATTAAGTAGGCTGAATTTAAACATATAGCCTATAAAGCCTTAATCTATACCCTGGTAGTATCAGGTCCTAAGCTGTAGCTTGTTAAAGTTATATGACAATTAGGTTCTGATGTCAATTAAACTCTTATTATTCTTTTAAACTTATTTCCTTTATTTCATTTTTCATCAGATGAAATACAATTGTTACCTTGATGAATCTAATCAGAGTTTACGCTGTTATTTTTCTGCTCTTAGTCATTTTATATCTTTATTTGTTTATATAAGTGAAATGTGAAATATTCAGTGTCAAGAAATTTTGTAGATGACAGCAGACAATGTATTAATTTTCGACGTTTTGACTGGTTAAGAGTCAAAACGTCGAAAATACATAATTTTTTGCTTAGTCGTGCATTTAGTATTGATAGTTTATATGATGGCGTAATTCAGTGAAAAATTATTTAAGAAAATTGAGAATTAGTTTGCTAATTCTTCAAAATTTTTAATCTCATATTATTTTGATTTCTGGTAATTTTTCATCATAGACAGATAAAATTATTGTTTTTTTTTTGTTATAATAAAAAGTGTTTGAACGAAATTCGTTATGAATCATGTGAAGAAAAATACACAAAGCTACAACTATGTTTTGATAAATATAAAATTCATTTTTAGGCACAACCAGTAGAATAACTAAAGAAAATCAGTTATAATTCAAGTATAAATGAATTTTTTTTTGTTCTTTTGACTTTATAATACGTCAATAAATTTAAAATATTTTTATATATTCTGCTAGGAAGCTTTACCTCCTTCCGCTCGCTTGGCCCATGGCCTTCGCCCACTTGTTCAAAAATGTCGTGATAATTCATTGATTCGCGGTGATTTCTCTTTTTTCTGACGGTAAAAGTATCTTGTGATTGAGACTAAGTATAAGTTATTTTATAGATCGATTTAAACTTTTTGTTCTGTAAACACTAAGAGGGCCTTTTTTTCAGGCCCGTAGTGGGGTAGGCCGGGTGGCGAAAAACATGGAATGACATATCCTGGAAGGACCCCCTAAAAATTTCTGGGGTTTTTCGATCGCTAGGATGTGATCCTGGATCCTCCAGAGCGGTAAACTGACACCTTAACTTTCTCCATCTACGGCTAGCTTTATTTTATAAATATTCAATGACAGAAAACTAACAATTACATAATTTAAAAATTGAAATATGCTAGTAAAAATTTGCAGTAATTGCAAAATTATAAAATTTTGAATCATCTTTCAGGATTAACCGTTTTAAGAATTTGATATTGAAAAAGTATCCCTTATGATGGTTAATGCTGAATAAGTAAATCTTCTAGTAGTAATTACCTTCTTTTAGTCTTTTAAATAAAAGAATATTTTATTTTATTTACAAAAAATAATTAACAGTTATTGTAATAAGGAATATCTCTTTACAGTTCTATTTTCAATGCAATTGTACTCTATCCCAACACCATAAACATGCAAATGTTTATGGTATTGGGCTAGAGTAGTCTAAAATATTAAAATAGATTGTTTTTGTATATAACTAAAAGCGTAATTAATGTTTCTTCTAATTATTTTTTAAATTTAAATATTTAAAATTAAGAATAAACATTACTAACTTTTGCTACTGGTTAACAGATATTACTCATTACATTTCGTTTTATATTTAAAATTACAGAATTGCATAATTATATATTAACGATTCTGGCCCATCCTCTAATTAAAGCCACTAATTTTTTTATAGAGTTCATTGACGTTCTTCATACCACCAGTATCATTGAGAACAAAATAAAAATGCCTTATAGCAGATATACTTTATTTAAATGCAATTTTATTCTTTATTTACAAATAATAATAATAATAATAATTTTGCTGTTTGCTTAAATAGTATGAAATTTATTATCGAGCTAAACTAATTTATTATTATATTTAAGAATCAAAAATTTTTAAAATAATTTTAGAAAATTATATTATAAATTTAAATGAATTATAATTAAAATTTTAACTTTTAAGTTTAAAAATTATTTCAGCAAAGAAACATGCAAATTCATTTTATTCAGTTCGTTTCTTACTATAATTCGTTGGAAAAAATCCCAAATGAGTAATAATTTCTTCTAAGAAATAAGCTTGAATGTTTTATGTTCAGCGTTGGCTCACTTTAATTTAATTTATTA